TAATTCAGGATGAAACCAGCTGAAAAAAATATCTATTGGTGTTCATTCAGATGACACCTGGCAAAGTTTGAAAACATGACTAGGCAAGTGAGCGGCTCTAAAAGCATTAATCAGGGCACCAGGCGATGCATCTGGCGGCTTAAGGATGGGAGAAGACGCGCTAATTAGGTAGAAATGGCCCTTTTCCCCCGTGACCCAGCGGGACCCTTGGCAAGCTGTTTAACATTAGTTAAGCAATTAAAACGTGTGAATGCAAATGTAGCTTTTGGTGAAAGCTCCGGCCGCGGCATAAAGTGCATTATATTCCGTGTTTGTTATAAGCCACATGATGCATGTCTGTATGCGAGGTCACAATTATGACGGCACGACAAGAACGCAATTACTGGCCTTAATGGAGGAAACAAAGCAACAAGTGGTTGGTCTGCAATTGACGCATACATATTCATAAAACATTAGCTTGCTAGAAATCAAATATTACAGAGGCGACAAGAAAGCCTGCAAGAAGTTCTTAGAAAGAAAAACACACCAGAAAACAAATGTTGGGAGTGTCTGAAACACTAGTCACATGTCTTGACAATGTGGATGTTTCCAGCTTTAACACTCCTGAAAAGCCTGGACTCCTTCACAGGGCCCAGCGGTCGCCTCAAAAACAGGCAAAGGTCTGTGTTTTAGTCACAGCTTAGCAGGGAATTGCGATACTCTTTGTTTGGTGACTCCTCTTGTGCTTTTCCTATGGTTCTATAAAGCTGGAGATATGGGGTCGTCAGGCTGCTTAGTATCACACAATTCTCGATTTGTCTTAAAGGAAGTGTTTGGACGCACCCTCTCCAAAATGTAAGTCAAGAAAAATTCTTAATCCAATGAAAGTTGTTGAGTGAATGCTAATTTGCATATTGCTATCGTTAAATTATGGAATATTATAGTTAAATGGTTCTGAATATTTTATAGATCAAATTGCTTAAAAGTTGCCTAAATTAATGGGCTCATCACAAAATTCTTACCCATATGTTTATATAGTCAGGCAGGGCTGCGTTTCCCAAAAGCATCGTAAGCCTAAGAAGTTCGTAGAAATGATCGTACGACTGATCTTAATATTACGGTCTGTTTCCCAAAAGCATCGTAACTTAAGTAGCACTTGAAAATCTTCGTGGATCTACGAGTGCTCTGGAGTAATCGTAAAGCCTTAAGTGCATCGTAAGGAGACAGAGTTATGAGGGCACCTGCTGGACAACCGGCAAATTGCACCTACAATTTACTTCTCTTCAAAGTCATTATTCATTTTATTTGTACGTATATCTCTATTCATTTATATTTTCTACACATTACACAATTCAATATACAAATAATAATAATTAATAATTAGGCTAAACTTTTCAAAAATAAATGTAAGAGCTTATTTATTTATTTATTTATTTACTTATTTATTTATTTTGATGTGAGATAAGCAATTTTTGATAAAGAAATTGATAAATAATACTACTTAATTAAGGTTTCATATAAATATCGAAAATGATGCTGATGTCATTTCCGGCAAGGACTGTTAGAATTAGTTTTATGCGAGATTGGAGCAAGACGGTGTTTTTACAGTACGACATTTCCAGTTAATTTATGTTTTTAAACTGGCTCAAAAATATTTTTTTTTATGTTATTCGAGTTGAATATACATTCACACAAGTAGAAGAAGAATTATATGGATTGCTATAACATGTGCAACAATAACGAGCCATTCTATAGCGTGACATTTCAGCACTTAACAAACGGATAGCGACTCCTAAGTTGCACTTAAAGCTGGGCTACGTGCAATTGTGTTAAGTGCATTTTTGGGAAACGCACGTGAAACAATAACGAACGTTCGCAAAATGACTCGTAGAAAACGCTCTTAAGTGCTAAGATCAATCGTTATCGGGAAACGCAGCCCAGATCATTTTAATTTTGCAACATGTATACCATGCGAAATGTGCATGCTCTCGTGGGCGGGATATTATAGCCTATGGAAAGAAAATACAGGCAAGTGCAAAAATAAAGGATGAGTGTGTCTGGACTGGAGAGTGTCCAGACGTGGCCGGCTGGTGGCGACAATAACATGCAAGCATGATAACCTGAACCGCACGGTCTATAATGGCCACATAATGGTCAAAAATCTGCTTAAATTGATCGAGAAAAACTCATCATGTTCCGATTACCGTTTTTGTAAATCTAAATGCTCAAATGGGTGGTTTATCTGTTTCTGAAAACTGTAAAATCAGGCGTTTTACTTCATCTTGAAATATGATGCATTCTCCATTAGAGAACAATCCACGCGACTGCTTCCTAAATTATTGCTGTACTTTAACTCTGAAACGCTGTTTGGGGACGTGCTGAAATAAGAAATGTATCGACACGTTTCTCCTTAATTCACACTGCTCCGGAAATCTGATGTGGAGGCTCGGTTCGTGTTTAAGCAAGCATATTTTGTTGTGTCAGATATTATTTGTGTCTGCCTCATCTGCACTACTCAGCCAAGCGCAGCAAAAAGCCAATGAAACGCGCTTGAGACCGTGACGTCAGCGACGCTGGTGCCCTCTTGATGACTTCCTGTCCTGAAGCGACTGACCTTCGCGTGAACCTGAGTCCAGTCTCGAGCACGAGCGCGTGCCACACACTCACACAGGCGTTTAATTCGCAAAACGGATAAAAAAAACTTGTTTATACTTGATATTATTCCATCCAAATAATGCTCTCAGATCTGTCTGACAATAGGATTATATCAAGATATTATAATTTGTTATAATTATGAGATTTTTCATTTAGTTTAATATTAAATTATATTATAGCCTACTAAAATTTAGCAAAATGTCGGGCGTGTTTCTCTCATTAATAAAAGCACCAGCCTTAAGACTTCCCTACTAAAATAACAGAAACGCAGGTAATAGGCTAGCTCATTTTATATAAATAAAATTATTAACAGCAATACGAGGCGAAAAATAAAAGAACGTGAAAAAAATGCATTTGTAAATGTTTAATGTAAATTAATAATCACTTTGCTTGTAACTTTTACGCAGGCCTATAGCTATAATAAATGATAAAAAGAGGACAGTGCCGCTGACAGCTGCGCTCTGATCTCATCATACATTTAGACTCATCCTGGATTTTTTCCCCTCCAAAAAAAAAAAAAAAAAACCCGACAGTACAAAACATGTTTTATTAAATCTGCACAGGGAGCACATAAAATAGGATTGCTTCTAATGCAATCATGGTGGGGACAATTCTCCTTCTCATGCGAGTGGATAAATAAATAGCTAAATTACAGTTCAAATTCCTAAAACAAAACATTTGTAATTTCCGTACCTGCATATTTAATTAGAACTCACGCAAAGTACACTGCAAAATTAAGTGTATATATAGAGTCCATGCACGTAGTTACAGCTGCCATGCTTGAAGAAAAACCTGTAAAATACAAGATTTAAGACTAAAAGTCAAAAAGAAGTACAAGGTGTGTAATCAAATAAATTAAACTTCACATTAAATATTTAAACCTAATGTTTTTGTAATAAATAACTTTGTATTAAACTTTGCAAACTCCGTAACTGGTGTGTAAAATTAGTTAGGCTACATGAACGTCATAAAGCAATTTATATAATAAATGAACTAAATTATGCTTTCAAATGTCTGAAAATATTCTGCCAAATCTGTTTCATTAATGTTTTCAAACATTTAAAGAATGGATGGATAATTAAATAAATAATAGGCTATTGGAAGTAGATAATTTTAGCTGTAACGGTGTAAAACAGAATGGCGCACTGCAAGGCCTGTTCATCCCATCCATCCAAACGAACAAACAAATACTTATCTAAAATGCCGGCAACTTTTGAGATTAGCATTCAATAATTTTGTTTACGCCTGAAAGCATTTGTAATGGGTTACTCTGAAGCAACTTTGAGAAGATAGCCTACATGTTAGGCTACGTAAAATTTCCTAATATTATATTTATTAATATATTATTATTATTATTATTATTAATAATAATAATAATTTTACTTATTTTCCCCACCATAATCATCAATAGTATTATCATTATTATTTTTTATTAGCCTACTATTATTACTATTATTATTATTAGCAATAATAATTTTACTCCCGTTCCCCACTTGCATAAAAACATCAACAGTCTTATTATTATTATCGAATAGTTATTATAATTTATGCAAGTTATAGCCATTTCTTATTTATCTATTTATTGAACATTAACGCATTTTTATTTGTTTTTTGTTAATGTTTTTTTTTGTCAATAAACACGTAGCTCAACAAAAATATTTTAAAGCTTCAGATCAAAGCTTTGGATGGTCTACATACGTTTTCACATGTAAAAAGTTTTGCCTTTCAGAAATGCCTTATAAATTTGGAGCTCCTAGGACACAACACTGATAAACAAGAGCAGGCATTTTCAACCTAACAGATAATTTCTTGAGCACTGAATAAACCTTCCATTGCATTTTCATTACCACATACAATCATATATCACATGGACCGCGAGTATAAGATTAACTTCAGTAGGCTAAATGTTAAATCCGGGGGTTCCGTAAAGCTCTTATCCAACAGGCTGACATGGAGAACCAAACCATAATGCGGACAAATAATTTGATTTGTAATAAATTCTGTTGCGTTTGTTTTTCTGAAATTGAATTAAAATGAACAAAGAAAATATAGGATACTTGTATACATATAAATGTGTGCAGGCTAAGTTATTCTAGCAGGCCTAACTTACAAATAATAATAATAGTTCTTTACTCTTTTTTAAATTAGTGAGTGCATGACATGTATTAGTTTTTTTATTTAATAGTTAAATGTTTTTTTATTGGTTTAGTTTTTTGTATATTAAAGTACTGTTCGTAAACTTTAGGCTAAAGTTATAAACAAGAGGTCCAGAAATACTTAGCATACTGGTTTTGTGTGAATATTTATAGCTTACCGCCGAAGCTTATATAGCTAAACACTGTTCATCAGTGAACCCATCACTTTAAGTCAAGAGGAATGAAGGGTAGATCTAGTGAGCACAAAACAGCGTCAAAACAGAAATATAACTTGCTCCAATTAAATCCGTTATGAATGGGAAAGGCAATCGCAATTCTCGCGGTGTTGCATGTGAGGTTGCCGAGCAACCACAGATCATCAACAAAGCCCGCGAGGACGCGCTCATGACGGCGTCTGTTGACTACAGACTGTAAACAAATGTGCAGAAATTCTGTTCTGCTTCTAAACCAGCAACTATGTCATATAAAGGATTCCCGAGCCATAGCAAAGTGTCAAAAGAGGACCAAGAGTTTTACGACTTGAAGAACAAAGCCGCCGAATATTACAGGTCCAACGGGGTCCCGCAAAAGATAGAAAGCGTCCTGAACGAGATGTTTTGGCAGAAGCCGGATGATATCTATGGTTATCTGGTGGGACAAATCACTTATTCTTTTGAGTTATTACAGCTCTAAACAATTCATTTCCAAGTTTTAATTGTAGCTGTTTTATAATTATTGAATGCAAATTTGACATCGCGTCTTCTCCAGTGTATATGTTATTCATTTAGAAAAATAACCGAAAGTCAGTATTGATGTACTTGAGATCCCCCCATAATTACGTACCAACATAATATACTGAAATCAATAACTGCCAACTCACTGCTCTTTTTCAGGCGAACTATTTTTCCGGGCTCTCATATACTCCAGTTATTAGTAAAATCACAGGAAAGGAGGTGTTTGACGGAAGAGGTTTGACAGCAGTTCAGGCTGAAGTTCACTGCATCATCAGAAACGAGGAAAAGGTATTTCAGATTTATTTTTTTCAAAGCAGATGGTAAAAGTTTTTGAAAAATGTTTCTTGTGCTAATCAAGGCTGAATTTGTTTCATCAAAAATACTGAAAAAAACTGCAATGCTGTGAAATTTAATTGCAGTTTTTAATGTGAATGTTGATCATTATAATATAGAAAAATAATCCCCCCAAAATATGTATATTATTATCAACCCTGAAAACAGTTGTTGTGCCTTATACCATACATCCTTTTATAAACACTATATAACACTTTTAAATAATCAATAACACATTATTGAAAAGTAACAGCCAGAAAATAAATAAACAGACAAAAACAAATTAAACAGAACAAAAATCTTTCACCATTGATAACATAAGAACCAAATAATTCCAACATTATTTCACAATATTATTGTATTTTTGATCAAACAAATGAAGCCATTACAGCCAGAAAAAAGATTTCTTTCAAAAACATTAAAATATCTTAATGCTTCTAAACTTTTGACCGATGATCTGCCAATTTAATCCAAAGGATTTAGATGTATTACAGTAAGCAGGCCTAAAATAATGAAAACATTTTTACAGGCAGCAAGGTGGATATCAGATCTAAGTGTTTCTATATCAACGGTTATAAAGAACTAGAAGCTGGTCTCCCCATGACCTTTCACCTTATGCCATTTGCACCATGCTGTACAGTTCACAGGAGAAATTTGTAGTGACACGATGATGAATTTAGGTCACAGCATGTCCACATAGACGAACACATAACAATTAGAGTAGGAGAGCATGCCCGTTTATACTGTGACGCACGTGTCTCAGCAACCAACCGCTATGTGTGAATATCAGATCACTCTCTGTCTCTCATTCGCCGGCTGTTTTGCCTTCTCTCCATCTCTCTGTTTGGGCTTGCCGAGTAAGCATTATGTCTTCTGGCATGGTGGCCGTATTGCAGTGGAGAGTGCTGCTGTTTTGGTTTGGCACATTGAGAGCGTTTGACGGTAATACAGCAGGACAGGGAACAGCCCGATTGTAGGCATGAGCTGGGGGAGGAGAGGTGAAAGGAGGAGAGCTCATAAATAAAGGGGCAGAAATAAGGGGAGAAATGCCCATATCAAGAGAGAATGGTAAACGCTGTCCAGATTCAGATGAGAGATGCTTTGACAGTCCTGGAATGTGAATGTTGACCTTTGTATTAGCAATAGCCAAATCCTAACACCCTTCTTCAGGTCTAACTGAAGGCCTACGGCACCATTTAGCATGGCTGTGCAAAATAAAACCTACTTATCACATCATATATCTACATTTTTGTTATTTACCTTATTTTAAGGAATGTAGTGTTCACAATGAAATAATATTCAGTCTTGAATTTTTAAATAGCTTATATTTGTGACCATGATCCTCCTGATTAGCTATTTAAAAAATTGCAGCACTTTTCCTAAAAGGCTGAATATCATGCAATCTATCAAAACCTAAATTAATTTAAATATATGAAGAAGAAATGTAATTAGTAGATTGATCTTTTTTTTACTATTCAAACACAAAACAATAGCCATTTCGAGCATATTTTTAGGTATAGAATTACAAAAAAGTGCCATGTTTTCAGAAAAAAAACATTAACAGTTGTCATTTTCTTGAAAAAAATGGTGCAAATGACAAAACCTTTATTGGAAAATTTAAATAAATGTTATCAGACTTTTATCAAATAAAATAAATAATTAAAACATTCAGTATATTAAGATCAATTTTACATATAATTTATATTTTAGTTAGTTTAGTATAAAATGCCTATTAAACAAACTGAAAAAACTGATGTACTGTACTAATGTACTAAAATAATTAACTCTACAACTTAAAATAAAGTAAATAATTTAATCAAAATATTTAAAAAGTAATAAATGTGATGCTTAAGTACATTGATGCTTTAGAATTGGATTCTTTTGAAGAAGCATTTCTAATTATCATCAATTTTGAAAACTGCCATGCTGCTTCATATTTCCATATTCATAAATTATCAAAATTCATTCATTTCATTTTCAGCGTAGTCCTTTTATTAATCTGGGGTCGCCACAGCAGAATGAATCACCAACACATCCATCATATGTTTTACGCAGTGGATGCCCTTCCAGCTGCAACCCATCACTGGGAAACATCCATACACACTCATTTTACACACATACACTACAGACAATTTATTTAATTAAGTCACCTATAGTGCATGTCTTTGACATGTGGGGAAAACCGGAGCCCCCGGAGGAAACCCGTGGGAACACAAGGAAGACATGCAAACTCCACACAGAAATGCCAACTGACCCAGCCGAGGCTAGAAACAGCGACCTTCTTGTTGTGAGGCGATCGTGCTACCCACTGCACCACCATGATGCCCTTGATCAAAATTAACAATAAATAATAATAATGATCATGTGTCTTATACCAATATATGATGCAATTCTTTCTCATACGCATTTGTACACAGGACCTTATAACTTGTATATTTATAACAAATTTGTAAATAAAATTTCCAAATAAAATAAAATAAAATCCAGAGCTCTTTTGTCTACTTGCATCATTGTTTAATGTTTGTCGTATTTTCTTATATTTTTTTGTTTGTGTTGTCACTTGTCACCTTATGTACACTGGAAGCTTCTGTAGTCAAAACAAACTCCTTGCGTGTGTAAAGCACACTTGGCAATAAAACCAGTTCTGATTCTGTTTAGAAAAGTGACAGTAAAACTTAAACAAATGTGCATTATATTTTTACATCTCAGAAAACCTGTTAGCTTTAATTAATGAAGAAATCCTCTAAAGTTAAGTGTAACAGTTTCCACAAAAATAAGAAGCAGAACAAAAAGTTAACACTGATAACAATATGAACCAATGCTAAAGTCTATGTGTAATCCAATATGTGAACAATTAATTAATGCAAGCTAATCCACTTTTTTATTCTTCATAATCTTTAATCAAAGTCTGATCACTTGCTTTTGCGTTTGGAGTGGCAGTCCCTCTCTATTGATGTCAGTTTGACAGCTTCAGCCACAATGTTCTTATCCATGCCACTCTTACTGTTTGTTTGCTACGAAGGAATGATCCCAGCTCCCAAATTAACATTCCATTTGAGTTGGAAGTACACCAACATACTGAAATAAATGTCTTTGCAACTTCTGGTTTAGGCAGTAATTAAGAATTAATAATGATTGAACAAGTAAATAAACATTTTAGGCTTTCTGATGGATTCCATGAGTGCAAATAAATAATATAAAAATAATGCTAAAAGACTAGATTTTTTATGTATACTACATAATTTATGTCAAACTATACTAGCCTAAAATATTACATATATAATATAGAGGAACTGATTGTAAGGTGCATTTTAAAAGTCACTGGCCTTTTGTGTAAATCATAGATGGTGTGCGGTGCAGTGATGGATGGCTCTTTTGATGGTCTGCCTGATGGTGTGGAATCAGGGGAGATGCTTTCTAATGGCGACCTGCAACATCTGTCTATCACAATGGCTCTGAAGTGGATCAGAGAGAATTTCAGTCCAGTGCTGCGAGGCTTCAACCCCACTGACCAAACCAATGTAGACAAAATACTCAGGTGATCACACAACTCAATGTACAGAAGAAGATCCACTCAGATTCTGACATGAAGGTTGCTGTTATTACTGTGTTTTACATTTATGCATTCAGCAGATGCTTTTATCCCAATGGTTCATCAATAGTCTTTAATAAACACATGTATGACTGAGGCTGTGTGTATGTTCTGTAGTGATTTTGCCATGGCACGTTACCTGGAGCACAAGGACAGTCTTATCAGAGAGAAAGAGGAGGAGCTAAGAAATGAAGCGATGTCTGAAGCTCCGCCCCAGGCCACTCCTACATCAGCTCCTGCCAAAGATAAGAAAGGCAATGATAAAGGTGAACTTATGCCGTCGACATTTATATGTATGAAATCTGAAACTCGTACTTGTTTTTCATTTCTAGATACTCTTTTTACCTACTGAATTCAACTGTGGTGCTCTATTCTTATGCCACTACCAATAAAAATCTAAAAAAAAAAAAAAGGGGGGAAATATTGCACCACTTAATTTAATTGCCATTCCATGTTTGGCTTAAAGTAATGCAGTCATGATTATGAAGTCTAGCTGATGATTAATTGTTTAAGTAATAATAATACAATTAAAAAAGATACATTTTTTTGTTTTGAGGCCTTACAGACATCAATGTTTGGCCAAAAAAGTACAGTTTATATAGATTTTTTATATTTTGAAATATATGTTGAGTTTTTTGTATCTGTTGCAAGTCTGAAGATTTGTCCAACAAGTTTTCCCAATCTCTCAAGATTTATCAACAAGTTGTTGGCATTGCTACTGTTTGAAGTTTTTAATATATTATTAGCAATAGTATTGTATTAACGGAAGTGGTGTTAGTGAGTCCAGCAGGGGGCGCTTAACAAGTGGACTGTGTGGGTCCTAACGCCCAGTATATTAATTTGGACTCTATACTGCTCAGTGAGCATCGTCTTTTTTAAGAGATGTTAAACCAAGGCCCTGACTCTCTGTGGTCAATAGAAATTCCAGGACGTCCTTCGAAAAAGAGTAGGGGTTTAACACCGGCATCCTGATCAAATTTGCCCACTCGCTTTTGTCCATCATGGCACCTAACCATCCCCATATCAAAATTGGCTTCATCACTCTGTCTCCTCTCCACCAATCAGCTGTTGTGTGGTGTGTGTTCTAGAGCAATATGTCTGCGGTTGAGTCATCCAGGTGGATGTTACACACTAATGGTGGATGAGGAGATTTCCCCCAAAATGTGTAAAGCACATTCAGTGTCTAGAAAAGTGCTATATAAATGTAAGGAACTATTATTAATAATTATATTATTAGTAGTTATTAGAAGAGAAAAACTTTACACATGCAGTCTCTAACAAATCTGAATGTGAAAGTAAAAGGCATGTGTTTTTGGAATGGTGCCTCTGTAATTTGGTTAATGTCTCTCTTTAAAGGAATTGCAGGAATCACAGTCATCTGAAACCAGCAACTAGACAGTTATTTAATCTAAACCCAGCTGTTTCAGATGACTGTGATTCCTGCAATTCATCTGCGCGTACATTTTCTATTATTGTTGCATGAATACAACATCAAATTTGTAAAAAGTAACATATGTCTTTCCCGCAGAGTTCTTACAGGTTTGGAAATCCTTGAAAATGCTTGAAATATAATGTAGTCTTTTCAAGGTTTGAAATGTGCTTAGATTTTGGATAAAGTACTCAAAACTGCTTGTAATGTAATTGTGTTGCTTTCATAATAATTTGTTTCTAAATAGGTAAGAATTGAGAATAAATGACAGTACTTCAATGTTAGACTAAAAAAACTGCAACATACTGTAGGCTTATTCTGAAAATGTCTCCCTATACATTTCTGGAGATCGTGAATTATGCAGCCGGAAGTCTGTATGGCTGCATTTCGTCTTCAAAACAAACACTACGTGGCCGTATGGCGCCATCTCTTTTTGTGCTAGCAGCTGACTGCGTACCTCTGTATAAACAGCGTTCTGCTGTTACCAGTTTGTCCAGTAGCTTGCCATGTACGTTGGCGAACTTGAGACACAGAGCGGAGTTGAACACGATAATGGTGTTTGAGTCCGGCAAAGAACAGTTCCAGAAAGCAGGTAAGACAAAAACAGAAGTCCAAAAATAAAATAAACAAGTAAATAACAGGGTAAGAATGTGGTAAAAACTGAAAACGGTAAAAAACAGGTAAGGGCTTTTCTTTTCCTGGATTGCTTTTTAAAACACTGTCGGTTGGATTTAGGGAAGGAGGAGGGTGGGTTAGTCGATCGGTCAGTCAGTCATTCAGTCAGTCAGTCAACTGTGGCCTCTGGTGGATTTACTCTAAAACAGCAGATGTGAATGATCGTCACGAAAGAAATTTAAGATCTCAAAAAGCGTACCTACCGGCCTGCGGTGGATTCGCGAAAACAAAAACTGAAAAAATGTAGCTCTTGGGACATATTTGGCACTCTCCAGAAATGTATATAGCGGTACGTTTTCAGAATGAGCCTGGGTAGGTTACCATATTATACTATACAACAGAATACTCTAACAGCATCTGACACAATTTTGTATGAGCTATGTATTGGTATGTAAATATGTAACACATGTAAAGTGCTTGAAATGTTTGAAAATGCATCTGGAAAATGCTTGAAAAGTGCTCAAATGTAACATAAAAATGTGTAAAAGCCCTGTTACCAACAATGTGCAAGTAAATAGCACACAGCTTGCACAAGATCTTATATAGACATGTCACATGTTTTTACAGTCCATGTACAACACGGAAACAGCTTTTTAAAATGTATTCACATTAGAGATTGTCTTTAAAATGCATTCTTCAAATATATCTGGAATAATGTAGACATACCTTACATCTAGCCATTTCACAGATTCCTTAGTATTCCTTATTAATTGAGGTCACACAGTAAATGCATCAGAGCGGTGGAAGCATCAGAGCCAGGTTAAGTGAAGATGCTACAAGAGAACAACAACCGTGTTAGTGCATGCCCATGGGATTTAAAAGACAGAAGGTCAAGATTCCAGTCAATCTCACTGATCTGAGAGCTGTTCTAAAAGCAGTCTGAAAGATTCCACGCTCCTCTGTTTCATAGAATCCCTACTGGGAGCAGCTCTCAGCTACATTAGCAGCTTGTACTGAATCATTCCATGTGACGCTGCTGACACTGTTTTCACCTTTTCATTTAATCCAGGCTTTCTTGAAATCTGAGAGATATCAAAGAGCGATATACAGATTTAAAGGTGCCCCAAGTAACCTGTTCCACTGTAAAAGCCTTTTACCCCTACAGAAATGAATGGCACTTTTGAAAAAATGTTAAAGCGATGGTCTTCAGTCATATCACTGGCCTAGAAAAAGCCGTTTTATACAGTACTACATTGGAATGGGTTGTGTCCTTTTGCGGCCGCCATGTTACCATCACACGATCAGATGAATACTTCTCACTTAGTCTCAATAACCCTGCCATTATAAACGATCCAAGTATCATGAATATAACTGATATGATGACATCAGTGAGTAAAAACCTTCTTGTTTAGGATTGAGAGGATCTATGAGAACATAGCTGCATGTCCTTCAGCCTGACCTCTCCATCCTCTGCACTCTATCTTTCAGGCAAAAAAGGAAACATCACAGAGAATCCCCTTCCTCCTGCAGAGCCTCCAGTGCCGAGGCTGCCAGGGGCCACAGCAGTGGGTGCAGTTTCATTGGCAGTGGCCAAAACTGCCGCTGAACTTTTAGGAACACCTCTATATAGACATATCACAGCAGTAAGAGACCCACAGGTAAAAATCTGGGTTTTCTGTGTTACCTTTGTACTTATCTAGCAAGAAAATGTATTCTTTAGTATTGGTCTTCTCCTAACATTCCTTCGGTCAATATGTGGTTAAATCAGGTTGCCATTTTCCTTCACTTACAAAAACTGACCTTTGTCTTGTGTCAGAAATCTGATGATTTCTGGCATATCTGAAATCCTCTATGGGAGTTTTTAGAGAATGTATAATGAAACAATTTTTTGTTAATTTTACCCTTTTGTTAATTTTACGCAATAGGTAGTGCAATCACCTCACAGCAAGAAGGATTCTGGTTCGAGCCTTGGCTGGGTCAGTTGGCGTTTCTGAGTGGAGTTTGCATGTTCTCCCCGTGTTCGCGTGGGTTTTCTGGTTCTGGTTTCCCCCACAGTCCAAGGACATGCGATAAAGGTGAATTGGGTAGGCAAAATTATCCATAGTATATGAGTGTGACTGAGTGTGTATGGATGTTTCCCAGAGATGGGTTGCAGCTGAAGGGTACCCGCTGCATAAAACATATGCTGGATTTGTTTGCGGTCATTCCGCTGTGGCAACCACAGATTAATAAAGGGACTAAGCCGAAAAGGAAAATAAATGAATATTTTTAGGGGTTTTTCACTTTTTTATTGTGATAGGATAGTGGAGGACAGACATGAAAGCATTGGGAGCAGAGAGAGGGGAAGGATCAGCATAGGACCTCGAGGCAGGAATCAAACCCGGGTCGCCGTGAGCACCATGGTGCTATATGTCAGCACACATAACCACTAGGCTATTAGCGGAAAATTTTCCTAATTTATTTAATAATGTTATGCTTTAATTATAATACTTTATATGAACTATTCATACATTCATGTTGTTTTAAGCTTAGTCCCTTTACTATTCTGGGGTCACCAAAGTGGAATGAACTGCCAACTTATCCAGCATATGTTTTACACAATGGATGCTCTTCCAGCTGCAACCTAACACTGGGAAACATCCATACACACTCATTCATACACATACACTACAGACAATTAAGCTTACTCAATATACCTATAGTGCATGTCGTTGGACTTGTGGGGGAAACCGGAGAACCTGGAAGAACTTCTTGCTGTGAGGTGATTGTGCTACCCACTGCACTACCATGATGCATTCATAACTAATACAGCATGAATTTTTGATTTTATAATAAATGTATTAAAGATAACAAACACAATCTCATTTATCACAGAATGGAGTTACACTATTTTGCCTTAATTTGCTCGCTGATGTCTTCTGCATAGTCCACTATGCGTTGAGTGACGTTGTTTAAAATTTTGAAAATCGGATTTATTTCCAACATTTGATTAAAACATTTCACTTTGGTTTGCTTTTATTGTAGTTCAGCAATAAAACAAACAAACAAAAAAAAGGTTAAATCAAATAAGAAATGATGATCTCTTTTAAAGGCATTCGCCCCAACGCTCTCTATCTATCTCTCTCTACTGTCAGATGGGATGGTGAGCCAAATCAAAGGTTGCAGTGGGCCAACTTTGGCCCAAGGCCCTACTCTGGGCATCTCTGCTTTAAATAAATGTTGTTGTTTTTTTTTTTATTAATCTGGATGTGGTAAGATTTTATGTCCACTTTCATGTCTCCATGTTCATCATGGAGCCTAACAAAATGCATTTGTACGTTCAAATACATTAATTTTAGTTTGCTTTTGTTTTTTTGTGCATTTGCATCTCATGATAATTGCATGACATGAAGAGTAATTTACTTTTCTGCCATTTATGATCACTTATCTTAGAAATGTAATTGTGACTTTTTCTCTCTGAACTGGATGATATAAACTTGCATTTGCTAACTAAGACAGAATTCCATGATATAAACGCACAATGGCAAGTTATAAGTCCAACTCTCATGAAAAAAAAATACTTTTTTCATTATTTTTTTACAATTGTAAGTTTATATCTCACAGTTTGGACTTTATAACACAATTTATATCTGGAAATTCTGAGAAAGAATAAAAAAAATTGCATTTTTATCACAGAGTATATACAGGAATCAGACATTATAATTCAATACCTTTTTTATGATTCTTTCCATACATTTTAAAACCTTATAACCACTTTTCAACAGGAAACACTGGCGAGATTTTAACTTACAGTATATTTATTAAATATTAATGTAAGAAATTAATCCAAAACTAAAACATTATTCAATGACTGAATAAAAATCTATTAAATCTAGCTAATTCAGCAGGTTGGCTCCTATAAAACTGCAGAAATAATGGTGTTACTGCAGTAAACAAAGCAGCATGATTTCAAATCTAGCAAGATTTTATTGATTTCATAAACTACACAGCATTCAGATATTCGCAGATTTAACTCAGGCAGACCTTACCTTACAAAAATGATACAAAATTCATTGCCTTGCAAAATAGCATTTAAGAGAATTAAATTTCTCTACATTTATTTACCAACTTTTAATAATTTTTAAGACCCCGCCAACACCCTGTATCATGTGCTTATGGAAAAAGTTTGAATTGTGGGATAAAAGTCCCAGTTATCTTTTCTGTTTTTTTTTCATTCAGTGAAGGAAAGCTTTTCTTTCTCAGCTCTTTTCTAAATGTGAAACTGCTCAGTTCAGTTTTCAGAACTTGCAGCCAAATTAAAAAGTGCATGTGCGAGCTGCACAAATATGCTTACCATTGTAGAGGCAATACTAGCATCACACAAACTCTACAATAAAACCATCCTGTTCACATAAAAACTGTAGTATACTTTTAAAGTGCCTGTAAATACACAGACACACATATCAAAGAGCGATATACAGATTTAAAGGTGCCCCAAGTAACCTGTTTCACTGTAAAAACCTTTATCCTTACAGAAATGAATAGCATTTTTAAAAAATGTTTAAAGGGATGGTCTTCAGTCATATCACTGGGCTAGAAAAAGCTGTTTTATACTACATGGAATAGGTCAAGTCCTTTTGCGGCCACCATGTCAACATCACACGATCAGATGAATACTTTTCACTTAGTCTCAATAACCCTGCCATTATAAACGATGCAAGTATCATAAATATATCTAATACGATGACATCAGTGAATAACATCATTTATGTTAACCATGAAGTGAACATGTACGTACTTGAAAATAATACATTATGGGAGAAGACTTCTGATTGGAGCTCTATACAAAAAGACAATGTAAACCTACTTGTTATCTTCTTGCTCACTTCTCATGGGCTACTTTAGGCTCAGAAAGAGATGCAGTTGCCAGTGCCTATCATAACAATAATGAGCTGTGGAAAGAACTCTGCGGGGAAACTAAACCTTCTGGAGGAGATCATCCTCATGCCCAGCTCATCACTAAGAGTCAGAGAAGTATGCAAGAAAGTTAAACACAACTTTTTTTTTTTTTAGTAAAGTAGGCTGTGTTTGATGCACAAGCACTGTTAGTGATGTTTATCTTTGGTGCATGTGTGTGTGTGTGTGTCGGCCTTGCAGGTCATTGGAATGGGCCTTGATCTGCAGTGTGAAATGAGGAGAATTTTGAATGGATCGACATATAAAGCTTTGGTAAGGATGCTCTCACAGGGTTTGACTCTTCGACAATGGAACATAATGCTTTATGCTCCGGCTCACACAAAAGCATCAAGCAGGACACAAATTACATGTGGATTTTTTTTGATGCTTTGATGGGGTAATTATCTGCACATCACCATCTGAATGAAATAAACAGGCCTCAATCACGTGCAGGGCTTATGAATGGCGATTGAACCACTTAACAGCATGTCACACGATAAATATATATTTATGTTTAGATGGGAGGCTATTACTCGTGCGCTGTGCATTGTGGAACACGCACAGCACTATTGCTATAGCCTTTAAAAAAAAAGACCTTCATAACATTATAGAGTAGAGGTGCTGGGCAGGATATAGGTTTAGCACACTCTGTTTATCAGTTGAGTTTGTTCAGGAGAGTTTGATTTGCAGAAACTAAACTGTGTAATTTTTGCTGTGATTTTTTTTAGAATCTTCTGAGCTACCAGCAATTTTTCATTTTCATCAATATATCTAAAACTATAAATAATACACCTTGTCAAAGAGAGCATTTTGCATGTGGTAAAAAATCATTCGGATGCATTCCTTATGTGTGTTTATTTTCCCCTAGACTTCAAAAGTCTGAAAATCTTGATCATTTTGTTGGTCTCGTTAGTCAACTCTGATCTTTACTTCTTACTTTCAAGTTACGTGATTGGCTGGGCCATTCTAGCGATTTTATTTTCTTGTCTTGAGACTAGTTGCGTGTTTGCTTGGTTGTGATTAGATTATGAAATGTCTACCCTGGTTTCATTCTCACCATCCTGGTTATGTACAGTAGGTGTTATGAAAGTAGCAGCTTATATTCATTTACATTGACGAGGGGCAGGGTTGCTTTCTAAATACTGAGAAATGTCTGCTGCTGCTGTCTGGGCTTTCCGTGCTCTATTTTACCCCCACTTTTTTCATGTGTTCAATATCTTTTCCCTGTGTCATTTCATTTCTCACTCATTGTCAATTACTTTAGCATGTTTAATGCAGCAGATGCCCTTCCAGCCACAACCCAGTGCTGGGAAACACCCATAATTCTCTCATTCACACATTTATTCTCTATAGCCAGTAGTGTAACCAATTCAATTAGTTTATCATATAGATTAGATAAATCATATCAATTTAAATAATCAAATCCAATATGTGTGCAATATATATTATAATATAATATAATGTAATGTAATATATAATATAATATAATATAATATAATATAATATAATATAATATAATATAATATATATTTTTGATTAGAATTAAAATTATATATTGTAAAACTGAATGCATATTTGGTCAAAAAACAATCTCAAGTCTGGTGTGGTATACTGGTATACTGTATGAAAATAAATAATTATTGCAATTTCACAGATAGCTGGTTCAGATATGTCCATGGAAGTATACAGTCTGAAACTTACTAACCATTTGAATTTTTACCACAAGTATCCAAAACTGTATTTTTTCAACATGTGTGATTTTTCTCTGTGACTGACCTGTTGTCTCTGTGTTTCCCAGCCTGTAGGGGTATCAGACGAGGGAGCTTTACAGGTGGGCTTTGACCGTCCTGAACAGGCTCTTGATTTGCTCGCAGAAGCGTGTGCAAACCTTGCGCTTCCTCTAGGTTCAGACCTGCACTTGGCTGTAAACTGTGCAGCACACAGCCTTATGGATTATGTGAGTAACTGAAGGAAAGAACAGTAGGATTTAATTGCTTCATATTGACTAAAGCAAGTACTAAATCAGATATAGCAGCGTTTAGTATTTACCTCTAAAATCTTTTGCTGTCTCTTGCTGTCTTCTAGTCTCGTGGGAAGTATGAGGTGATGTCAGGCTGTCACAAATCCCCAGATGAGCTGGTGGATATTTATGAGGGGCTGATTAATAAATATCCGGCTATCAGATCCCTCATTGATCCTTTCAGGAAAGAGGTGAGTTAAAAAACAACTCTTTATCCACTTTTTTCCCGCGAATGACGAATGTATTTCAAATTATAGATTTCCATTCAAAATAACTGTAATATAATATAATATAATATAATATAATATAATATAATATAATATAATATAATATAATATGTCTTTATATCTGTCTATCTGTCTTTAATAATGTATGTTATTTTTTCCAGTGACATATTTATTGTCATCTCCTTAAGCCACCTCTCTATATTTGGTCCCACCAACTTTTTTTCAGTAAATTGATGTCTTTTAGCTTGCAAAAAGCACATATCAACAAATACATATTCTCTTCTTCTTAAATTTTGATTGCTAGGGTTATTTTCTTAGTGCATTCCCTAAACTACAGACATATTCAACTCAATATTGCTAGGGAAAGACTTGAGTAAAGTGTTTGAGGTTATTTGTCTGCTGTAAGCAATTAGTTCATTTTATTATTAGTTTAGTTTATATCATAATAATATTCATTTCCTTTTAATATTGAATGGACGATCTGTCCAGTGATTGTTTTATAATTTAAAGAAAGTTACTCACATTGGATAACAAAGAGCATGCTGTGGCATAGGAAAAATGTGGATAAAGCAATAGAAGTAACCTCATAAAGTATGATACTCATCTAGGAAAGAAAACTAACAGTGCGTCTCTACTTCAGGATGTAGGCCAGTGGGAAAGACTGGCCTCAGTGATTGGTCAGTCCTGCTGTCTGCTAGCAGATGCTGCATCCAATCTCTGTTCTCGCTGGAGAGAAGCGAAGCCCCTCCCACCTGGAGCTACCAAGGCCATTATTAGACACCACAGTGATATGACCATCTCTGACCTCATACAGAGCATAGCGGAGCACAAAGGTAAACATAAGCTAACAGTCTAAGAACCAGGGAACTGGAAGCCACAAGGGAGTACACTATGGGGTCTGAAAATTTTTTAATAATATGAATAATAAAGAAAAATAAGATTAGATTATTATTTAGAAATGTTATTCATATAATTAAAAAATAGAATTAAAATCATTTAATAAATATGAAATAATTTAACATAATTAAATGATACTACATTTAAAATACTTTAAATGAGATTTTATCCACGGTTTATTATTATATGAAATGAAAATTAAAACAAATAAATACAAATGAGGATAAATTAAATATAAAAAAATAACAATAATAGAATGTGTTAACAAAAATATATAAAATATTATATTGGATAGAAAATTAGAACAAATTTAATATAATTTTTTCCACATTAGATTTGGGTTTTGTATGCTTTCAATCAGGGTACCTTCCATGAGAACGATCATATTTGGGGGCCCATAGCATCTGAAAGCTTGACTACCCCTGCGATACAAAAGAGGACGAAAAAGTTCAAACAAATCAAGTGTAAACTATGTTTTCAGGCATTGTTGTTTTAACAATAATTAGCAAAAGTTAAGTACATATCTCTTTCATTTGTGCGTTGAGATGCAGAGACGATTCTGGCAGCAGGCAGTGGTGATGCATCAGTGGTGGACCTGGTGAGTTGGATGCTTTTCTTGATTTATTATGATGGATTTATTTGTTAGGACATTCATCAGAATTTCTCAGTGGCATGTGTTTGATTGTGCTTTTTAATAGAAATACAATAGGTCACACTTTATAATAAGGTTTCATTAGGTCATGTATTTACCAACATGAACTAATAATGAACAACAGTATTTATTAATCATAGTTCAACATCTACTAATGCATTATTAACATCCAAATCCATGCTTGTTAACATTAGATAATGCACTGTGAAATAATAATGAACAATTGTATTTTCATTAACTATCATGGCCAAATGCTGTAATAAATGTATTGTTCATTGTTTGTTCATGTTTCTTCATTTCCAAAATATGTAATTAATAATTCGGCTCTCAAATATGAACATAAAAGTAAAAAAACTAATAAAGTTTATAATTTTACATTTTAATCGTAAACACACACACACACACACAAAATGTTGCTAAACCCAAACCAAATTGATTACAGTAAAAAATCAATCAGTTTTCTAAATTAATGTAACCTTTTTCCATTACAAACTATATTACCATAGCACAAAAAAGCTATAAAAACCTGTCATTATTTTCCGGATTTGATAAGTGACATATAATGCCGAATCTTAAATGTTTCTTCACTTGAATGTTTTTATATTTTTTTTTACTTCCTAAATTTTTCTGTTTAGTGAACCTTTGAGTCTGTTTTTTGCTACCAGACCTCAATGTATATATATGTGTGTTTTAAGGCAGTAGGGTCAGGCGTGTCCTTTCTCAAACTGGGCGGCCTGAGAGGAGCAGAGCGAATGGACAAATACAATCGTCTGATGGCCATAGAAGAAGAGCAGGAGGGGATCGCGGGTACGGTTCACACATTCTCACACTCGCTTAATGCTGACCATCATTAGTGGCGTCTATAGTCAGAAAACTAGCGTGTTACGATGTTTGCTGCCTTTGTGTGTTGCAGGTGCCGGAGAAATAAACCAGCCTGTGTCATTTAAGTCTGAAAGCGGCTGGAACTCGCTGACCGTCTCTGCTAAATGACTTCATCTCCTGTCTGTGGAACATTATCACAGTAGGGGTTTCCTGACCTGATTGCATGACATTAAAAACTCACATCAAAAATATCTTTTGGTAAACATGCAAACTGACTCACCTCATATATTGTGTTAGAATATGTGCAGAAATATGCTGTAATGCTGTTTCTTTTTTTAAATAAGAACATTATTATTTAAACATGCATTTAAATTAATAAATACAGCCTACTCAGAATTTGCGAAATATATATTTATATTTGTCACAGTGATTATTTCATAACAGACTCTGTATTAATTGTGTGATTGAGATCTAATTTTTCTCACAAAATGAAGTTAATTAAAATGGAGAGAGAGACAGTCTGTCATTTTCCTTCCCGAGTTTCTTTTTCGCTTCCATGTGCTCCAGAATTATCTGAAAGATAAAAAATAACAAACTATTTTTAAAAATTTATCCAGAATTAAATTGCAAATATAAGCATGTATGTAAACATGGCACATTTTTGTTATTTAATGCACAAAGTCCTCTAAATTACATTTGTATTGTTAGTGTTATTATGACATTTCTAATTTAATTATATACATTTTCTTTAGCAAGTAGACAAAATATTGACTTTAAATATATTAAATTGAACTTGATTGGGCTATAATAACTAAAAACTAATATTACAAATAATAATGAAAATGACTTATGAAAATGTCATTTCATAGAATGAAATTATGAAAATGATTATTATTATTATTACTGTTATTATTATAAATGAAACCAATTTTATATTGCATTTCTTCTTTAATTTAGCTAGTCGAGAAGAAATATTTACTTTAAATATTTCCAATTTGACTGAATTGAATTATATAACTAAAAACTAAGATTACAAATAATAACGAAAATGACATTATTATTATTATTATCATTATTATAAATGAATTCAAAATTAAATAGCGAATGTTAACATGTCTGCAAACATGCAACCTTTTTGTTATATATGCAAAAATGCTCTGAATTACATCTTTATTTTACTTTACCATTTAATATTATTCCTTGATTTAGCTCGTTCACAAAAATATATTTTTACTAAATATAATAAATCGAATTAAAAAAAAACTTGATGGCATTATATGACTAAAACCTAAAATACAAATAATAACAATAATAAAATGACAAAAAAACAAACAAACAAATTAACCGTAAATAAAAAACAACAATAAATAAATAACACTAAAATAACACTGGTTTTACACTATATATTTTTATATTTTATATAAAAATATATATTTACTTTAAATATATTTAATTTAATTAGATTATAATAATTAAAAACTAATATAAAAAATTATGATATTAATGACAAAAACACAAAACACAATTACTAAAGTTTTACCAAAATTGAAATAAAATAAATGTTAACAGAAAAATTCCCTAAAACTAAAGTCTAACTTTTAAGGAATCTACTAAATTAAATGAATAAATAACACTAAAACACTGGTTTTACATCTATTTATGCATATATTTTGCACTTGTTTACAAAATTAAAATATATAATAAAAAAAATAATAATAATATTACTCTTCTCAATTCTAAAATTCTGGGATGTGAGAAAACTCAGACAATGAACTTCGTCCCCCTTTTGTCCCCCTTTACACACAGACAGGTTTTCAAACAAATCAAAGCTGTTCTTCAATTATGAAGAGGCATAAAACAACCCATCACTTCCTTCTCCACATCCTCTCCTCACTTTATCCAGACAACAGATACGAACACACACAAACACCACACACACACAAGCTGCCTGAATAGGGCCAATTATCCAGCCTGTTCAAAAGGGCAGCAGTGTCCGCTTCATACAAGTGTTTGTGTGTGTGTTTGTGTTTGTGTGAAAGACTGTGAATGGACTGTTTTGTGTTAACAAGTGAGAGAAAACACAAACCCACAGCTGTGCTGCGAAACTACAGACTGATCTCCAAGAATGTGACGCGACCAGTAGAAAAACTAATATTTATAACCATACTAACATACATCAGTCGATTTATTTGCGTTAGAATTGGTCACACTTGGTACAATTCTTGCTATTGATAAATCATTAAGTGTGACTTTTGACTCAATAAGCCTCTAATTTGCTGCACTTTAATATTTATTAAGGTAATAATGTTTTATAATTTAGACCTAATGCTTAACAAATGATGAATAAACTATTTGCTAATGCTTATTAAATGATTTATAATGTAGGTATTATAAAGGGTTACCCATTTATTTATTTTATTATTATGGGTAGGGTTTTTTTTGTCTGAGTTTACAAACATTTATAATTTTATGCTTTTACTTTTGATTTCTATTAAAGTCTGTAAAAACAAAAATGTTTGGTTCTGCTATAAGAAGCCAATCGGTGTCTTTACTGTTGTTTTAAGGAGACCGGCTGTGTATTTGTTGCACTGCTGTGAAATGAAAGTTTCAAAGTGTTTTCAATTTGATATTATTGTTTATTACTGTTATTTAACCTCCTTATCTTTTAAAGTTATCTTATGTATACCGTAAACTAAAGAACATCTCTACTGTATTCTTAACAATTAATTTCTGGCAACCACAGCTGCCAGTTTTTTTTTACCGTGAATTTTACATTTCTCTTAATTATACCATAAACTTAAAAACATCTCTACTGTATTTTTAACGGTAGATTTCTGTCAACCACATATTACAGTTTTTCCAGTAAATTTTACAGTTACTGCTACCGTAAACTGAAAAACATTTCTAGTGTATTTTTAACCGCATATTTCTGGCAACCACAGCTGCAAGTATTTTTTATGGTGAATTTTACAGTTCTCTTACAGTAAGTATACCGTAAAATGAAAAACATTTCTACTGTATTTTTAACGTTAGATTTCTGGCAACCATAGCTGCCAGTTTTTTACTGTAAATTTTACAGTTCTCTTAAGTATACCGTTTACTGAAAAAAACATCTCTACTGTGTTTTTTTTTTACTGTGATTTTTGTCAACCATAGCTTGCATTTTTTCCCCTGTAAATTTTACAGTTACTGCTACTGTAACTAAAATGAATTTTTTGCTCTAAATTTAAGGGGATTTCTTTTTTACATAGTTGGGTTGGTTTAGGTTTTGTGTAGAGTTGAGGGATGTAGAATAGGATCAAATACTAATAAACAGCGAATATAATAGGCAGGTATAATAGACAGGTAATAAGCCACTAGTTAACAATAAGAATTGTTACTTAAACTAAAGTGTTACCCAGTAAATAAATAAATAAATACAATCGTAGATGTTTTTTTTGAATATGCAAATAAGGCATTGTTTAATAAAAAAAGCACTCATTTGAACACTGAATGAAGTCAGGTCCAAAATTCATGTTTTTTCCCACGTAATAATGTTAGATTTTTAAAAAGGGAGTTTTGAAAATCTCTTTTTTGTTTATGAAGAGAGAATAAATACAATAGTCAACATTTGAAGTGAAACAAAGATGTTTTTTTAAATTGCCATAAAACCAGATTGAGTGCTGTTCAATCATTCTAGGACAACTCTGATGCAAGGTTTTGAACAACTTCAGATGTTGACTACTATATGTATATTTTCACAAACTAATGAAATGAGATAGGTTTATTGTGTATGAACCCCTCTGTAAAATGCTTCAGCATACAGGTGTGAATATATACATACAGTATATTTTAGTGTATATGTCAGAGCTACTGAATTAGAGATGTGTGGCTCAGCACAGCAGAAATAAACTCAATTTACTAAAACAGCCTTTAAAATGGTAAAACTTTACAATAAGGTTGTATTAGTTAATGTTAGTAAATCATGAACAAACAATAAACAATACATTTATTGCACTATTTTTTCTTGTTAGTTAATGAAACTAAAGTTGTCCATTGTTAGTTCAAGTTAACTCACGGTGCATTAACTAATGACATGTTAGTTAATGTTGGTTAAAATAACATCAATAAAATAATGTTGGTTAAAATAACATCAATAAAGATGTTTATTGTTAGTTCATGTTACCTCTCAGTGTATTAACTAATGATAACAACCATTAATTTGGATGTTAATAATGTACTGAACTATGATTAATAAATGCTGTACAAGTATTGTTTATTATTTGTTTATGTTAGTACATACTGTACATGAACTAATAAAACCTTATCGTAAAGTGTGACCCTTAAAATGTAAATTATATTTGAAATCTACAGACACAAATGAATCAAGTATAGAAGAAACCCTTAAAACTGTATTTTAGATGTTTTCTTTACATTAAACTCAAGAAAAAAAAAAACACTTCATGAACATTTTTATGCACCCTAAATCTCTAGGTGTATGAAAACAACAGATTTTTGTCTTGTGTCTTATCTTAATTAATTGAAATGCATTTACTAACATCTCACCTTTTAAAGAGCAAAGCACAAGGAAAAAGTGCACATGGTGCAGAACAAGCAGCATTTTGTAAGTGTACAAAGAGTGACATCTGTAAAAAAAAAAAAAAAAAAAAAAAAAAAATAGCTATTTCCACCCGGCAGGAGCAGAGATTTTGAGAGTTACTGTGGCTCCCCACCAGGCAATCATTCTGTTTGGAAAATAAACAAAATGACTAACAAAACAGGCTAAATTAAGCGTTTTACACACACATGCACATACAAGCTGGGCTGCGAAATTGTGGTTCTGTCAATAGATGTTGTTTTGTGTTGCCTGACTATGGTTTGGAAGGGAGTGTTACAGAACACGATCAAAAACTAACACAAGTCAGACAGAAACGGCAGCAAAGGCCCAGCGTGATGCTTTTCGTGATTGCAAACTGGTTGAGATTGACAGAATGTTTATAGTATGTCGATTAAGTGAAATGTACAGGAAGGCAAAGAGACTGCGGTTGAGCAGCACATTTACTCATTTACACCTTACATCTTCAACAGATGCAGAAACGGAAATATCAACAAATCAAAATACGCTATTAAGTTGGACAGAAGAGCAAGAGTAAAGAGTATAAAGTGTAAAGAGATTATTGATTGTCTTTTGAGCGAAGTCAAAGAATCTGAATGCTGTTTGATGCACTCGCTATACAGACATATATACTTAGCTGAATAATGTTAAGATAACTGATCTAATGTTAGGGTTGGACAAACAGTAAAATTATAATAATAATGTGCAAATATTAGCGTTACTATTATAATAACTTTATATATAAATAAAAAAAAAAATATATATATGATCATTCTAATTTTGAATTGCATTTTAAATGATCCAGAAAATTACACATTTCTATGTATGTACTTTACAGTTGTATTACACTCATTGTAATTTACAAGAGCACTAAAACAAAGCTTCACCATATATAGTCATAAACTCAAGACACTAAAAAAATGCTTTACTTATTCAGAGTTTTGTCCTTTTTTCTAGTCCAAATATCTAAAATATCTTA